TTCTGAAGTATAACCTCTCATTCCCTTTAATAAGGCCCTCTGCAACCATTCAAGCGCCCCTCTGCTGCTGTCTATAACTCTTTCTATCTTGCAATACTTACCTGTTACCCAATTTTGGAACTTGACATCAATGGCTATATATACCCCTAGCCGCGGCCGGTTACACCACGATCCATCAAACAAGCAACTTGGCGATAGGCGGGGATAGCTCAGTTGGGAGAGCGTCAGACTGAAGTCCAACTTCATTCATCTTAATCTGAAGGTCGTGCGTTCGATCCGCACTCACCGCATTTGTTTTGGTTTTTCTATCCATTATCTCTTTTTTCAATCTCAATCTTGCTATCGAGATTGCTAGCGGAGCAAAGCTGTCAATTGTATAATAATCGCTGCCGGATTACACCTAATAAACGTCCTTGTTTAATGGGGCGAATGCAGTATAAGAAATTTCAATTTTGGATGCTAAAAAGCCTAAGTACGTAGTCCTAGAAGCTTCGACACCAACCAATACTTTTCAACATGTGTATGTACACCTTGAGAGGCTTGCGGGGGTGGCAGAGGGGGAATGTCCTGCATGCATGCAGGTTCCTTTTCTCGCCCAGAAGATCCGAACAGGCGCCTCTGGCTTTTGTCGGCGTGGCGTTTTGCCTGCCTACCATTGACGCGATCCGATAATAATGCGTTAAATCTACGCGTCGTCTGACGTCTGATCTGATCGAATCAGTGTTGGTTGAGAGCGTACTAATAGCTAGAAAAGATTTCAAGGCCGCTTCGGTTTCAAATGACCGGAAACGGTAAGAAAAAGAAAATACTTCTAGGGAAACAATGCAGCTTGAAACATGTTGGTTGTTACGTGCAGTACTTAGGTGTTAAGCTTACTTAGTATGTAGTTAGTTTTACTTCGATAGAAGACCTCGATACCAAGACAGTGGTTCGAGTCAGCCTAACTCGGGATGTTGGTGATGAGGATGTGATTGCTGGAGCTCGAGAGGATCCTTTTGTCGATCTTAGGGCTGTGGAGCAAGGACCCTGATGCTGGCCTGAAGACTGAACTACCTACCGTACCTACTGTGCAGATAGCCAAAGTACAAATTACAGGACTGATTACATGTAATCGATCAGGAAGAGCTGGTGGAGGGTTGCACTCGTGTCACAGCCGGTACCTGGCATGTGCAGTAAATTGATTACCTATCTTTGCTGATCAGCAGGTTATCATCTCGTCTTATTACTTACTGTGTTCGGGAGCTTTGTACTTTGTACGAAGCGAGGACTCTATTTCAGGTTGTGTTCCGAACTTTGTGTACCTTGTGGTGGTGGTGTACAGAAGATGCTCGTTGGCCTACCAAGTGAGCAGTGTAAAGGAGAACCCATTCGCGGGAGGAGCACGACGGCTGCGTCACCTATTCCCAGAATATGTCTACGCTAGACTTATGAGGCATAGACAGTACTGAATTGTGGCTAGTCGTGACGTTGCTCTTCCGTTTCTGGATTTGATATGAGGCAGTGAAGACATCGTGCTACAGCTAGCTGTCTCTAGTGTAGATAGATAGTATTCAATGACAACTAGGAAATCTGCTAGAACAACACAGCCCGGTATGGTAAGGTTGGAGGCTTGGACTATCGTGCCAGGTTACTCTCCAGACGAGGACATTGTAGATCCCGCTGTCTACGCGGCTCGAGTTGCTTCACTCGTATGACTGCAGTATTGTGTAGATCACACAACATGTGTGTGGGTAGGATCCAAGAATCTCTTGCTTGGAGTGTAGGCGGACAAAGCAATCGCCATGCACCCTCACCACGTTTCTCGTCCAGCATGCCGGGTCGTCGCATGGATGGATGGAACGAAACGACCTCTCTGCCCGAAGGAGGTTGCACCGAGGAGCGGATGTTTGATGGGGCTGTCAGCTCTATCGCAAGGACTACGGTCAAGAATGACATGATGCTCCCACTCCACGCTTCGGGCAAGCATGGTATCGTTGCTGTTCGGTTTGCGCAGCACGGCACCTACCGGGGTTTGGGTTTGTCTACCTAGCTGCAATGCGGCAGGTCATCTTGGAATTCTCCATGATACCTAGATCTCTGCCAACTGCATGCACTACGATATTCACCAATGCCTGACCTTGAAAACAAGCGTAACCCTGGTTCAAAAAAACAAAATAAAATAAAAATCTCCGATCTGTCAGCAGTAATATCAAAATATCTACCTACACTACTATAGTTCGCCAGGCTTCTAGGATATTTGATGCAAATGTTGGCAGTAGATCGCGTCTACATACTTCTTGTACAGTAGACTAGTTGATGCCCAGAAAATGGAAGCAGCATAATCCAGGTATGTCTCCAAAAGCTAGCTTGGCGTAGCCGATGCGAGGTAAGGGATCCATGCCATGTGTAGCGAGGCCTGACGCAGCAAACCACCCGATCGGAGCACAAATTCACCGGCTATGTCGTTTCGAGAAACGCCTGCAGCAGAGCCGGCGTTTGCTGTGCTACCATTGCAGGTAAGTACGGAGTATACTACGGAGTAGGTTAAATATGAACTACTGTAAGGAATGTCGGGAATAGCATCACCCTTTGAGCAGCGCACTTTTTTAGTATAACGCACTACTTACTTAGATAAGTCTATCAGGGCCGTCCCAGATTCGGCGGTATTTACTGTAGTAGTGACTACTGTAGTTCTGTTTCAGGCGACTCTAGGCACCATAGAGAACGGCCGGCATCCTCCGTAATACCGGGAGATTGCCAAGTTACTTACTTACCTAAGCACTGGCTGTTTGACGCTGAGACTGGTCTGATAGTAGGCAGGACAATTCAATTCCAAGAGTTGACGGCGCCGGTATCGCCGCTGACGAGACGCGGCCATCGGCATTGCGAATGAACCTATTAACATCGAGGCGACGTACTTGGTTTCCACGTACCAAGAGGTAAGCCACAACAGGCACCCGGGAGCCAGGTCGAGTGATGACTTACCAGCTGCAGCCAACGTCTATATGTAGGTATGGAGGTATGAGGTGGCGTTTATGTTGGCGTGCTCTGTACTCATGCAGGTATCCAAATGATAATTTATACTGATTAGGCATCGGACATGTATTCTCACGTATTCTCATGCGAGTTTAAATAAGGTAGGCGTCTTCACCGTCAGGCCAGATTCAGGCCTTCTCATTGCTTGGAAGAAGGCCTGAAGCTTGTCAGACGGCGCTAGGTTAGTTGCAGTCTTAGTGTAGAGGTGTAGAGGTGGAGATGGTAGTTGGTGGTTGGTGGTGATGATCGATGATGATGATCGATGATCACCAACCATCGCCCTACGTGTAAGCCCAGGTGTGCCCAGGTGTTTCACATTCGACCTAGGTATTCTTGATTTGGTATTGTTCAGCTTCCCTCAACGACCAGAAAAGGTTAACAGGTAAAGTCGGTATAATACTTCGGCTATACTATTCGTTCTGTTGGGTTGGTATGTTCTCAGTATAGTGAATAAACTACTGCAAATGGCTGTCTGTGGATCATGATGTTGCACTGAAGCACTATAGATAATACGACGCAATCAATGCATCTATCTGTACTTGCGAAGGAAAGGAACTAGGTAACTAGAAGTACCGTATGTAGTAGGTAGGATGTGTGTATGCAGTGCCGTCGTCGTCCTCGTGCCTATAGTATGCTTCCGCTTTCATACTACGTAGCCGCCTCGCATCGTTCCCCAATCCTATGCCATACCGTCGTCTCCGGTCCCCCCATTCCCCCATCCCCCATCTCCCAATCCCACTCCCGTCCCCGTCTTCATCCTTCCTATCAAGCAGCAGCCAATTACGCAGCATCAGGCCTAAATCCCGACGCTTGAGGATGGCTTGGGCACGTCAACTCACAGAGGACTAGTCTGCTGTCAGCATCCCAGCGGCAACCAGCTAGCTCGAGAGTTGTGCCGACGCCTCGCATTGGACGCCCTCAGAGCCCACCCACGTCGCCGTCGCATGTTCGCCGGCACCTTTGCTGCTCCGCTGGTAAGCTAAGCAACGCAGTAAGAAAAGCTAGGCAAAGCTGAGGTGCGGCAACGTCCACGCCCGCCGTTGGGCGCCAAAGCTGAAGCGTCTCTGCCAATGGGCCTGCGTATTCCAATTTCCGGCCGACATTGCCTTGGCCCTGGAACTCTTGTTCATCTCTGCTGTGGGCTGTTCAGTGCTTGACAGTAAGTACGAAGTAAGTAGCTCCGGCCTGCTGCAGCCTGGGTCTACTATAGTCGGCACGGCTCACTTCAGCCGGTTTTCTTCTTTCCCACCTCGCCCACTAGCGACGCCGGCACCAGGCGAGGTTACGCCTATACGACTCGGGAATGATCCACCACACCCACTGCATGTACGTGTATCTCACTCACACACCCTCTTTGCATTGTACCTAGCCTCTAGCCTGTATGTAGGTCCCTGTACTGTAGGTCTAGGTGGTGTACTATAGGTGTAGGTGTATGTAGGTACGTCTTCTCTTCTCTCAATGCTCCTATCCGTCCCGCCAAACCCGCCGAGCTTGCACAGCGTCGTGGGAACGAAAACCAAGCGTGTTCGAGCAAGATTGGGCGCACACCGTGTCCAGAAACATCCAGTTCCCGGCATCGAATTAGTGCACGGGAAAGCTTGCAAGGGTCATGTTAGTAGTGTAGGTACACGAGTGGACAGAAGCTACGTACGAAGTAGTAGTAGAAACACGCTCACTTCATATTCCTCAGTATATGTTGCATGGGGCTTGACTCGAAAGTACCTGTTTTTTTCTTTTCTTTTTATTTTCCCTCCTAACCTACTGTGGCGTTATTGAAGTTCTCGTGGCATGTTCCCTGTACCGATCGACTATATTCGTTCTATTGCGAGAAGTTTTCTGAATGCTCAACCCTGCACCCACGCAGTCATTCTTTCAACTCTGCTCTTCGCCGGCTTGGCTAGATGTCACTGCCTGGATTATATTGCCCTTCATTTCTTGATTCACACGTGCCTAACGTTTCCCGTGTTGTTTTCCCTCCTTCCCGGTAGCCGGCTTTCGCATATCATCACTGTCGTTTGACACACGTTCCTATTTTTGCATTATCGATTTCAATTATACACATACCATTAAAACGTCATCTAAAGTGAACAGCACTACGCGACCAGTTCGACCGGTGCGAGATACTGCTGCCCTCGCGGATTCGTTCGCTGGCAGTTACACCCAGTTATAAAGAGGAGTTCGGTATTTCGTAAAGATGGATTTAATGGTTGAATCATGCGAGTATCACGGGAGCTTGATAGCTTTCGAGGGACCGCAGGATATCATATCGACACAGCTTCGTCTACTCCCGAACTCATCCAAACTTTTAATATTACCATCATTTCAGGCCTTCATCAAGGAAAGCGACGTCGCTACACAATTCGACGCTCAGTCACTAATTCTTAAAATACACGACGCATGCCATGCCCGAACAGAAATGGCTCGTTCCTTCCTGCGGGAATCCATGCCAAATGACAAGCGACTTGTGTTTATGAACGGTAGTACAATCTCGGCACGGATGAGTTGTATCTCGGCCATCAGCAGGCACGAGACGAACGGAGATATGGACAGAGCGGAGGCTATATTCAACGAGCTCATCGAAAATGGGGCTGTGAGCCTCAAGCGACAAAACCAATTGGAGCAGAATCCCGGAGTAGCTTCGACGACAGATGCCACAGAGGATCTGGATGGGCAAGGTCCTCGTGTTGCAGACGATCCAATATCAAAAGCAATGAGAGCTGCCGACGCCTTGTATCTCGAAACGGAATTTTTACAAGAGACGGACGAATTCGATCTTGTCACTGCAATTCGGCACCGCAGTATGAGCGTACCAGCCCTTCCCTTAACTGATGACCTACGAACTACAACACCCTTCAACATCTTCGGTAGTCCAACAGAAAGTACTGAGAAGGCTCAGTCGCCTAGACTTGAAGAGCAAAACCCACTTCACGATGTTGGGGTCTCGCAGGGTGTAACAGTGGTTGAAGACCAGTTGGCAGGCATTAACAGTGGTACATTATCACCAAACCGTGGTAGTGAGCTCTATCGACACAATCCTTTAAGACCAACTAGTGCTGTTGGTCCGCCGCGTAACGCAGTTGAGTCATTGCCGAGCAGTCCAATATTACTAGGCGAGGCTCGAATTGTTGACTTTCGCCCCTCTCCACCATCAAGTCGTAAGCGCACTTCGTCAGTAGATCGAATCTACGCCACTGCTATCCGAAACCAAGATATTTCGCTTTGCAATTTACCACGGTCTTCGACCAAGCTCGAGGGATCAGCACAGGGCGAGGCGCAGGAAGAAGAACGCGTCTCGCCGAAGAAACCATTACTCAGATCACATTTTTACAGCGAGACATCATATCCAACTCTAATCAAACCCAACAGGGCTATAGTGAGGAAATATGTGCCTCCCAGGCTAAACTTGGACATAGAGGGGGCAAGGCGCTCCGTCTACTCCAACCAGAGCATAGGCGAGAGAACATGTGCACAAAGAGGCACATTAACTGAGCCTCTAAGTAACGTGGTGACGGGCGAGCCAGATGCTGGGAAAGATGATAGTGGATCCTTCCTCGATTTGGAGAACGATGTCGACCCTGTCCAAGAACCTTTTCAAGCAGTCCTTCCAGTGGTTGAGGATTTAGTCATACATTTTAAGGGCGAGGAGAGTCAACCAGCGCTAGAGGCCATGATCCAAACTTTCCAGAACCGCACATCGCAGCTTTCCATGCTTTCTCTTATTTCAGAATTGAGGGGAAGCATGAGCCAAACCATGACCCCTACTACAAGGAGTTCAGCGCCAGACTCGTCTGAAAAGGGTGCTCTGTATAGCCGACGAGTTACTCAACAGTCAACCCCAAGATACAGTCCTGCAGATTATGACCCTTTCGCAGTCCACGGTAATTATCCTAGGCGGCCTGCTTCTGGGTCTTTATCGAACAAAGATACGAATAACCATCAGGAGGCAATCGTCATTTCGACTCCGCCAACTCCCGCTCAGACACCTCCACCGGGGACTGAAGCCATTCCAGATCAGCTTTTTCATGAATTCGATATCAAAGGGTACAAAACAGCTATATGTATCCAGAACGCGTTAAGGTCCATTCTAAATGTTTACTTTTCACCCGAGAACATCGGATATCATCAATTCAACTTTCCACTACTACCCGAGCTTAGCAGCTTTTGGCGGCCCGTGTTTCGGGAGACCCGGTCTCGAGACTCAAACACGACACGAAAGATTGACTTAATACTTGCTTTAGGCACACAGAAATCTTCTGGTAGAGGGCTACTTGGTTCAGTTAGCGGATCTCTAGAAAAACTGGGGAGAGAAGCCAATGGTACACCCCGAACTGGAAGGGTTGACTTGAGGTAAGCCTATCATCCAGATACCCAGCCTGAATTCTAACACTGACCTCGACAAGATATCTTATTGCAAATGCCATGCAAGCTTTCACATCTCAGCCTCTAGCCAACCAAACGCAGGCCAATCCTTTCTCTAATCCTTTGCTCCTTGCAACTCTCATTATACCACACCTTGAAACATACATAGCAGCTCATCCCACCACCCGTTTTCTACTACTCGAATACCCGACGGAATATTTATCGACTGTTCTCTCGTTACAAGACCTAATTGGCGCAGATATACTAAAAGTAGCCGGCATCATTGACCCGGAAACAAACGAGCCGAAATCATACCAGACGCACAGGAAGCACTCGTCTCACAGCATCACAAGCTCATCTGTTTCCTCAGCTGGCCAATCGCCTAGTGCAGAAGCGTCAGAGGTTGCCAAGGGGATATACACATCCCAGCCGTCCTTTTCGAAAGCAAACTTCATCCTCACATCAGGCGCGGAGGAATCCGAGATAGCGACGTTCATTGCGACTATCTGGAGAATATTAATCAACATCTCGGACTTTTACATTCCCGAAAGTGTTACCGTGGACAAGTGGAAGAGTAAACCTAACACCTACTCGCTTCCGTCTTCGTCTCTCATGCCTTCATCAGAGCAGTACGCGCCTTTGCTCAGAGCCGCAGTAATGCTTGGCTTTGCGCCGCCGCTAGAAGACGAGCAGCGCGCAAGCCCCAATTACGTTTCGAGCGGAACATACGCAGATCTCCCCACACCTAGGCAGAGACCCGCGACGCCGATGAAAGCCGTCAAACCGTCCACCAGGGCGGCATCACGCAACAGTAGTTCGGCTGCGCGGCGTCCCGGGACCCCTAACCCGCGCAACAAATTAAAGTACCTCTTAGGTCACGACACCGCTGCATACACAACGACTAGAGACGCCGGAACAGAGGATTCGGTTTCGTATCATGATTACGAGGGTCTGGAAGAAGACGGCCGGTTCCTAGCCGAGGAACGGAAGTACATGCCGCTCTGGACCCAGCAGCACGCAAGCGGCATGCCCAACCGTAACAGCCACAAAGCGCTGAAATGGCTTGGTCTGTCGAATTGAGGCCTTTCAGCATCGCGGCGATTCCGGGGCAGCATCATGAATGCGTCTGCCCCCTAGCAGCACTTGGCTTCATATACATATCACACAGTGTCGGTGCTGGCGCTGGCTTACAACAAGTACCGGTTCTTTGGGACAACTTACCCTCTCTTTTTCTTTTACCCTTTTGAAGACTTGTATGGCATGGCGAATCATTGGGCGGGGCGCCTAGGAATATTAGGCAATGGGCTAGAAATCCCGCTAGGGCTTAATCTCAGGATATTATAAAGGACGGGGGAAAGGGAAGGCATCATTAAACAACATCGATTTCGCAAAGACGGCTACGTGCCTGTTAGCACTATTCTAAGTAACACCTTATTGCTGCTTTCCCCACTCAACTATTTGGACTTACCCCATCATTTTCTATTTCTCTTTTCCTCTATCTGTTGCTTTTTTGGCCTGTTGGCGGGTTGATACCCTGTGGGTGGTTGGCGTCGCTGGTTTGCGCATGATGGTGAACCGAGGCGTCGGAATATATTGGATATTGATCCCGTTCGGAAAAGGAGTCGGGACTCGACATGTTTGGGATCATTTATATCCTGCAAGTGGTGATTGCTGGGAAGGACGGAGGTACACATCTCTATAATGGTTACTATCGCTAGATATCGCTGTCATTAGTCCCCATGAGTATTGGTCAAGTCAACAATAAATCACTCTGATACCCTGAAATCATCATCATCTCTAGGCATGTCTCGTCCGTGATGCTCTCTATCTTTTAACCAGGACTGGTTCCTGTCAAAGCATACTTAGACTATATAAGAGCAAGTGTAGTTTCCATTTCTTGTAGCCTCAATAGTCAGTTAGGAGATCGAATCGCAACCCGAGCGTTTGGAAATCAACTGGCACAAGCGTGGATTAGTCAACCGTTCGGTGAGGATCGACAATCCCATTGGCACCAAACAAGGCCATACGGGATGACTCACCCCAACTTTCTACCTTAATTCGGGCAGGCAATGAGGTCCGTATACCTATCTATAGAAACTGGCTTGAGGTTCATGGTCTTAACATACATGGCCTATAGAACGCGGTTTAAGGACTCTGACAGCGGATGCAAGCAGACGTCATTCTCAAGTAGTTCGCCTTGGCTATTTTTTTCCGGTTAACCATCTCTGCGCGCAACAAACATCAATGGCACTAACATCGTAGTCAACAACACAATATTACCTACACAATTTTATTGTAACCAATACCTAGTGAATGAGCCTTTGGTGTTACTTGATTAAGTAACTTGATCCCTCTTTCTATACGAAAGTCAGCTATGACAAGAGCTAACCATGGTGGATATTCGCATTCAAATCGTAATCCATAACCGTTACCTTGTCTTTGACGCATCAGGTGAACTCCCATTCAGCATCGTGTACGGTCTCTGCCGACGTTCAAAAGACGACCTTGACGCACGGGACATCATCCTGCACACAGCGAAATCCGCGCTGGACGTACCATATGCTATCGCCAATGGGTTGCTTACGCTTCACGAGAAAGATGACGCGAGTGGGGAGATGAGGAGCATTGAACTGGACCTTTTGGATGAACGTAAAGGGGCAACCGACAGCGAAGAAGGAGCATACCTGACTCTCTCATCACCAATGACCAGAACAAAGCACTGGAAAGAAGATATGACGGTGTACCAGTACCCCATCGATTCCAAAAGCGAGCTGGGGTCGCTTTTGAAGCCCGGCAGGGCATACACGATCCGTCTAGCCAGCTCAGATCTAGGCGTGAAATGGTGGCGGTACAGCGATAACAGGAATCCCACAAATAAGGCAGATCTCACACAGGCTTCAGAGACAGCCAGGCTAGTCAGGAGCAAAAGCTCAGGCGGCAAGGCCAGCTTCAAGGTAGTATCATCCTTGACATTTCCTCCGGCGATAGAAATGCACATGCGGCTCTGCCCGACGGATAAAAACGCCAGGGAAGAAGAAGGTAGTAGTAACAGCAATAGCAACAGTGGCGATACTAGCACGACTGCTACTCTAGAAGTATCCGTCTGCAATACTCACCCATCAAGACCTATATCCGTCCAAACGCGCGGCACGCAGCGCTTTCTCATGCCGTGGGGTCCCATGCAGCCTGAGTCCGAAGACGATGATTCGCAAGTCCGCATCATCGATGGTGCCACGGCGCGAATAACTGCAGACATAGAAACAACGGTACGAGCACCTATAGCTAGTCTACAGATCGTAGATATCGGCACCGACACCGTCGTCCGCGCAGCGCGCAAACCAGGTCCATGTCGCGGGTTAACCATAGCCGGCGCAGATCCCCGACCACGACTCAACACGCTCCTCACACTTAGGCCCGGTGAAACTCTCATCAGACGCGTGGATATACGTAATCTAGTCAAAGGCCTTCCGGACGGTGCGTATCGCGTAGAGATGCGACCGCGAGGCGTGTGGTGGTGTTTTGGGGATAAGGATGAGATCGCGGATGAGGATAGGGAGAAGGTAGCTAGGGGATTGTATAAGACTGCGATTCCACCGCTTGTACTGAGGACTGAGGATGTCGTGAGCGTGAAGATCAGGGGTGGGAGGAAGGGTTGAGACAGGGCAGGATGTTGTGTGAATGAGGAGGAAAAGGGTAGGATGAGACGGCTTTACTCCATCTAGAGGTTCATGGACAATCTTCACAATTATCTCATTATGCAAATGTTTTCTAGCCGTTATTATACTTCTATAATTAGATCTAGGCATAATACTTGATCATATTAAGCTTGTGTTTAGGAATACATGATAGTATGCAGTGCAATAACATGCCTATAGTAGGTACGTTGAATAGACACGCAACGATGTATATATACCACAATCATTTGTCTAAAATATCAATCTTCAATAAGAGCATATACATATTTCTCTCCATTTATTAAAAGAGTAATACATTGAAGTAACGTGAAGGATAACCACTTCAACTGATCACCAAATGGCATGTAGATCGGTGATATTTTTTTGCTCCCTCCTCCCTCTGAGGCTAAAAATGCAGTGCTACTGTAGACTAGGGCCCTTCGATATACCTACCTAGGTAAGACGCCAGACATTGGAAAAGAAGAGTTTCAATTGAAACAACAAGGTTTGAACATATATCATTATCCTTGCGGAAATATCCATCGGAGTAGCTATCGAATGATGTCTTTCCCGACCGTGTATGTATTATTATTGTTGCGCTCTCCGCGTTTGGCCATTTCTCATATGACATGATATCAGCTATCCAGTTAGGCAAGCAAGTGAATTTCACTCAGCAATAACAGATGGTAACATCAACCGGTATAAGTAATCACGCATAGAATCAAGCCACATGCGGCATAATCAAATAGGTTTAGATATATATTGAGCTTGCTTCGCCCAATACTTCCATGAAGAGTATCAAAAGCCGGGGAACAGGACGTAAATCAACTCTGACATATCACATCATATTGTCGCACAACCAATTGCATCTGAATCAAGACTCCCAAAATAGATTATTCTTCCAGTTCTCCCTATTGGCCATCTCTTCTTCTAAGTCATATTGTTCTCAACATTATTCAATTCCTCGTGCACAGGTACACCATCAATACCCTTCTCGCCCGTGATATCCATGCTATACACCCAAAGCATATGAAGGGCATATCCATGCTCGACTAATGTCTAACAAGAGTATGCTTAGCCGCTGCAGTATTTGTGAAAGATAGGAAGTATCAGACTGGTCAGTACTCAACTGTAAATACCTACCTAGCCCGCGATGAGCCAGCACTACTTAGATAAGTCCCTATCCAACGGCATGGATTACATACAAATAGCCTTTCGATCAAAGAGCGAACAGACTTCAATATGTGACTCTCATCTTCCCCTCACTAACGCGTAAATTACCAATCTTGGAAATACAACCTCATTGGCACGAGGTCAATATCACCAGGCGATAACACTCACAGAGACACGCATACAACAGTAAGCCTTAGATACAGAAAGCATTCAAAATGGAAGCATGCGAAATCTCTCAGTTATCTCGCCCTGACGACGGCTCTGGCCGGGATCATCCACGGTAGTGACCTAGCTAAGTTGTACAACTTTACTAGCGTGCCGGAGGCAAAACGACAGCCGTTAATCTAACGTATGGAATTAACGGTTTGTATAGTACTTCACAACTAGTTTGTTTATTACAGTTCATATAGAAATAATACTGTATAGTTGAACGTATCATTCGGTATTACAAAGACCTCGCGAAGGACAAGCAATAAATCTACACATCTACACTAGCATATCGTGAACTTAAGCACATGTTATCATAGCCTAACATGCACGGAAGGGACGGTGAGTAGTTCTGCGAAAAGTAATAACATACACAATTCCACATTATATATAACCAGGGCTCTTCCGTTCAAATTCCATTGCGCTTCTAGCATTACAGATGTATTCGATCTACACATCATATATTCTACAGAAAAGGGGGGCAGTACAAGAACGGGGCAAAGGGCGGACCGGAGAGACCTTTTTTTAGGTTAATAAAATACATACATACATACAGCGTGCAGTCCGATCTGCTCTCTGCATTCTGCCTTCTGCCTTCTTTCTTCACCAAACCTGCACCATACCTCGTGCAGGGAAGGGTGTCAGGTAGTCTCGTAGTACGTGTCCAGTATATCCCAGGCAGCACCACACAAAACACAACCTGAGGAATAGCTAGCTGACCTGGCCTTGAATTACAAGCGCCATATCCCCCATCCCCCAGCCCTTTTCCATACCTTCCAATGACTAATACTCATATGCGCCCCTGTAAGGATGGTGACTAACGTCCTAAGCACTTCAAAACAGAGCGCTTTCGAGAAGATAACGCTAAGCCATTTGATACTACTTTGCGCTATTATCGTGATATTCGTCCTAATAAGACTTCGAGGAAACGGCATTTCTATGTATGGTAACAAGACAACTAGACGTCCCCGCGTAGCATAAAAGGTAAGGTTGTCATGCTTAGCTATTTATTGTAAGTGAGAGAAATCCTCCGAACTCAGTCCCGGCGAGGTGCAACGGCCGGCGGAGGAGGAGGAGGTGGTGGTGTCGAAGGTGGTTCGGAACCGGGAACACCCTCTCCAGGAGACGGGGCCTTGGCTGAAGCTGGAATTGTCATTGGCCCTTTGGGGACAAGCATACGGTCAGGTAGCGTTTCACCTCGTATGACCTTCTCAACCTCGTCTTTGCTTAGAGTCTCGTAATCGACGAGTGCCTTGGCCAGCAGATCGAGCTCTTTACGATGATCCAACAATAGTTTTTTCGCCCGCTCATAGGCTTCATTTACGGTTCGTTGGACCTCAGCTTCGACCAGAGCTTTAGTTTCGCTGCTGAGCGTCTCGTATCGGCTACCATATTCCATATTGCCTAGTTTCGTAGACATACCTAGAGAGGCAACCATGCTGAAGGCAACTTGCGTGGCTTTCTGCAGATCCTACATCAAAAGAGTCAGTGTCACGTGGTGACCAGCATCAGCAGGGAAATCTTACCGAAGAAGCACCACTGGTGACTTTGTTTGGACCGTAGATAATTTCTTCCGCAAGTTTCCCTCCCAGAGACGTATCAATCATAGCAAGGTAGTTGTCTACAGTGTACGAGTACTTGTCCATCTCAGGTAGGAAGCCTGTGTGCCCAAGCGACGGCCCGCGAGGCAGAACGGTAACCTTGTACAACGTGTTGCTAGATCCCTTGGTTAGGAGATTGACGAGAGCGTGACCCGCCTCGTGATAAGCCGTCATCTCTTTCTCCTTTGCACTAATCACCATACTTTTTCTCTCAGCACCGAGGATAATCTTATCTTTGGCCCAGTCGAAATCTGACTTCCCAACAACTTTCGCCTTGTTTTTACTAGCATGGACGGCGGCTTGGTTGACAATGTTCTCCAGCTCAGCACCAGATAGACCAGAGGTGGTTTGGGCAATGGCCTTTAGATCAACATCCTTGTCTGCCTTAATTTTCTTCGCGTGATGCTTAAGGATGGCTAGTCTACCACGAACATCGGGAAGGTCGACCGTAACATGTCGGTCAAACCGGCCAGGACGAGTAAGAGCCTTATCTAGGAGTTCGGGGAAGTTGGTGGCGCCAATGATGATCACGTTGGCACTCTGATCAAACCCGTCAAGTTCTGTAAGCAGCTGGTTGAGTGTCTGTTTGACATAGGCTGCATCACGCGCATTACGTCGACCTCCGATGGCGTCAAGTTCGTCGATAAAGACAATAGCAGGCGACTTGGACTTTGCAGCAGCGAAAAGATCTCGAACACGCTTGGCACCAACACCAACGTATACTTCGTCGAACTCACTACCCGACATGTAGAAGAACGGGACACCGGCCTCACCAGCTACGGCTCGTGCGAGTAGCGTCTTTCCTGTGCCGGGAGGTCCAACCAGGAGAATACCCTTAGGGAGTTTGCCACCGAGCTGGGAGAACTTTTCAGGGTTGCGTAAGAATTCGACCATGTCCTGTAACTCTTCCTTGGCCTCGTCAGCACCGTGAACGTCAGTAAATCGAGCCTTTTGCTGCTCAGCCTTAACCTCGCTGTCCACTTTGGCACCGGGCCGCTTGAAGACACTGAGACCTTCGATGATCATTGTAATGATGATGAGTGAGAGATAGGTGATGAGACAAAACCAGAGAATAAATTTGACCCATTTGAAGACACTGCTGCCGACTGTCTCGTCCACGACGACGTGAAGTGGGCCATCCTTTGTGCCACTAGCTTGCGTGCCTTGGTTGTTGGCAACTGCGAGAGTGGAGCCACGCGAACGAGCGGCCAAGGCTTGAGTAACAGCTTGAATTTGGGTAGGAGTGAGATTACCAGGCAGGTTCCGAACAGTTTCGCCGATATCTTGGCCGTCGACGCCCTGGCCAACCGCGGGTGCCAGCATGCTGAGGGCCTTGTGGTAGGCGTCAGTGGCGGCGGGGTTGGTAGCGAAGCGTCCAGATTGGTATCGTTCAATTATGATGGCGGGCATGTTGGCTTTCAGAAGAGCCTGGTAAAAGGCATTCTGGGCAGTTGCGCTTGTTGGGTTCCTATTGGCAGATTGTTCCATATGGGCGAGGAGGTTTCTTGACAAACCGCCGGACTGGAAGGATCGTCGCTGGAATGGAGACAGGACAGCAAATGGGCTCGAAATACAACGAAGGGGAGCAGTCGAGGTAGACATAGATCGAACGGGGAACCGATGGGGATAGAGCCGGTGGACGACGGGATTGGACGCCAGCAGCGCAGCACGCTGCATGATGGATATAGAAGAACGCATGTCAAAGGGACTTGAAATGGTTTGTCGCGAAACAACGGTAGGAGCAAGAGCGGCGTCAAGGCGAGAATCCCTCAAAAACTCGGGAAGTTCTAGTATCGGCGCACCGGAAGCGGTCAAGGACTGGGCGGGTTCTGTTGCTGTCGCCCGAGGGACTTTGGCTTCCTCATGGAGAGAAGGCGAATGCGACTGGGAGATCGGGCGCTGTAGCTTCCTAGAGGACAAGGCATGGTAGGGATAAGCCAGGCTGTTGGCGAGGGACGGCCAGAGCTCGGAGGCCGTGGCGACAACACTCGCAAAGGCAGGTGTTTGTAACGCCATGACAGATCCGGCAGTGTTAGTATTCCCCAGGCAAGTAGATCATACAGGCCGGCCAGGCGGCCAGCAGACTGAAGATTGAGTGTGCGCGATAAGGGCGGTGTCCAATGCGTGAAGATGCGTGAAGGCTGTTAGAGCGATATATCGTGATGTCAAGAGCTCAACAGGGCCCAGAATCGAAAAAGGTAAAATGGGTCGGAAGATTAAAGGCCGTAGCCATATACAGGGCCGACTAGATCAAAGAAGAAAGAAAGACAGTGAAGAGAAGGATTGGTCAATACAATCGAGCGGGCCGGTGGGCGAGGAAAATGGGTGATGGCCGCATTCTCCCACGGCTTGGACACGACACGGATGATGATGCGAAGGGCGAAGTTCTCGAATCCAGATTCTACCTACCGACAGACCCTACAGGCCAGACACAGACCAGACCTGATGGGTCGTGGCTTGTCGAAGGTCACCGAAGCCAGACCTGGCGGTACCTTCCAGTTACCTACCTAGGTACTAATCTAGCACTAAGGCTGCACTAAACGGCTGCTACAGCCCACCTAAATGCCTGCCTAAATAGGTGGTAGATGCAGTGATAGAACACCAGCCCGCTTGTACTGTCCACGTCTCTGACCTCTGCACTATGTACCTTTGTACTTATCAGATCGACCCAAGCCACACCGGTCCGGCAATCGGCGAGGACTGCCCACTTACCTAATCTCTCCTGCCAATGTAATGTATACTTACCTATGAGGTAAGCGTTCTCATTCTATCATGGAGATCACCATTACTAGGCATTCGATAGTACAGGCAAACATCAACATAAGATTCAACATAGATGCCTGCTCGTTGAAGTCTCTATTTCACCATAATACGATGCCTTTCCCCTCGCTACATCTATGTCAGAACATCTCAGATCGCCAAACTTCCGGCAATGCAATAAATAGACTGCAACCAACCCCAGTCTCAGATTAGCTTTCTTTCGTCAGCTCCTGTCGAATTGCTAGAACGCTATCAACAATAACCGCATCTATGCCCTCATTTACTTGTACCTAGAGACCCCCCGTTAGCACAATGCATAGTAACTACGGCCACACTTGTGAAAATTGGCTTACCTGCACCTGTTCCGGGTCGTTGTTCTGCACTCCATAGCTGACACAAACGAGACCCGACTGTTTGACCACCTTGATAAGCCGCGGGCACGTGACGAACGGCGTCGCATTGCTCACGATGCCCAGCAAGTTCCACCTGCTCGCGAATCGGATGGCCTCCTGAAGACTGCTGGCGCGTATGTCGCTGACCGGCTCCACGCCCGCGTCCGTGAGGAACAGGATGGGGATGCTCGGCTGCTTGAAGCTGAGGCATAGGCAGATGTCAGGGTTGAAGCTGCTAAAGATGATGTGACGGTGCTGTGTCAACTCGTACACCTTCTCAAGCACCGTGTCACAGAATGAGTTGAGCTCGATTGCATACGTGTCCATGTAATGCTGCTCACTCTCGAGGAGCATCGGGTACTTCATCTCTATGTTAAACCCCACGTTCTCCGGTATCTTTTTAAAGAGCTCCTCGAGTGTCGCGAAAGGGGCCTGCACGAAATTCCCACGCGTATTGCCCTTGTACCCAGACTGCTTATAATTTAATGTGTATTTCATCCGTTCATCGAGGGTTGTATCCTTGCTTTTGCTCGAGAAATCGACGGAGAGAGAGCGTTGTTTCAGTCCGCCTTCTTTATTGTGAACTCTGTCAGCATTGGACAGCCGACCCTCGGGCGACGCTTTTCGAGATCTTCCATTGGTTCCATCATTGATATGAAGGAATTGCTCGAGGGTGAGTGTATGTACTGGTGCATCAATCCCTGTCTCGCTCACCAGAAAATCGTGATAGATGACGGGGACATGGTCTTTGGTCAGCTGGACATCAAATTCCACATATTGCGCTCCCAAGTTCGCGGCAGCGATAAAAGACGAGACTGTGTTCTCCCCTAACTGGAGCGACTTGTTAGTCAAGTGGTTCTTGCCGAGCCCGCGGTGGCCTATCAGCATAGTCGGCGCGAGCTTCTTCCAGTATGTCTGTTGTGAGTTGATCTCCATTTTAGGATGGCTAAAGGGTGTAATCACAAGGAAGTTGAAATTGACAGAGCCAATGACTTCAAGATTAGATCCCATGATGGGCACGCATATATCACCCTGCAAGTTCATCCGACCCGTACCGAGATTAGGGCGGACCGATGACAGTAGGGCTACGGCCCGGCCGATCTTGTTCTTTTCATTTCCAGAATACGTTGGGACAATATCAAAGAGCATCTTAACCTTGGATGCATCCGAGGTGTAGAATAAGATTGGCTCGGTTGATATATTGTCGTGTACAGGCAGATCAATCGTCGTTGGCTCGCCGTGAGCTCCCTGTGCTGAAACAACTACAGAAAGTGCTGTGTCTAATTGATTGGTGTGCGCCTCGGCCAGAGGAACGCGATCTAGCTTAACCGGCTCGACATCATTCCGCATGTCCATCGAGCCTAAGCTTACCATGACCAGGCACTCACTCCTGAGGTATCGGTGGCCGAATGATTTGATGGGCTCGGTGATTCTGACACTCCCGTTTGATTTCCTATCCTCGAGTGATGAAATCTCCGGTGGAGGCGAGGAACCATTGGACGTCGATTCACCATCTCCGGCGGCATTCATTTTCGGAGACGCCGAGGATGAGGTTGTGAGAGGAGCAAGGAGTTCAGCGACGCCCATGTGACCCCGTAACGCAGCATGCTCTTTTGCAGTCCAGCCAAATGAGTCAGGCTTCGAAACATCGCTTCCAGCGTTGACTAGAAGCTCAGCCACGGGGAGATGGCCATCAACGGCCGCGATATGAAGAGGACTCCAAGAAAAGGACCTTTCGGTCAATTCTAGATCTGCCTTCTGGTCTGGCGATCCTTCAATCAGGACCCGAGCGCACTCAGTATGTCCAAAGCGGGCAGCAATATGTAGTGCCGTTTCACCAGTCGCGTCTTGCCAATTAATATCCACACCTGCTTCTACAAGCATCTTAACGATGCCGACAAAATTTGATCGAGTGGCCATAGCCAAGACAGCACTGGACTGTGATATGGGCATTCTGTGAATGTGATCCGAGCCCTGCCAAATTTCTCCCTTCAGAAGACTTTTTGTTGTGAGTGGGTGACCGCCAATGACTGCAAGATGCAGAGGTGCGTTTCCATCCTTATCCTGCCACTTCGGCGCATCAATACCATCTGTCACATCGAATTGGCCCCAGTCCTGCATCTTGGCCATGATGATCTCGCATAAGACCACAAATCCGTACTGTGCCGCGTAATGGAGAGGTATACGGCCTTGTGAGTCTTTCTCAGTTAGCGCAGACCGCTGCTTTGGCTGAAGGCCGTCAAGAATGTGACACAGGATCTGTACGCTCTCGTCGTCTTTACCTAGCAAAGACAGTGTCGATGAATCAACCCCCGTAGGACTGGCTTTCCCGCTCGGCGCTTGAGCTGGCACAACATAATGGCTATTATATGATGAAGTCGCAGGCAGACCCTTGGCATTTGGTTCTAGGTCGCCAGCCACCAATGTCGATTTAGTACGCCCAATGTGTATAACCAAACGATGAATACAGTTTCGCTCGTTGAAATCGTTAGGTTCGCGGAGAGACTCGAGATGAGGGAGGATATAAGAAATACAAGCCTTCGAGCGGGAGGAAATGGCGCGTTGCAGTAGGCTAAGCAACATGATCTGTGACGCCTCTGTGGATGCTGTGAAGTTGTGCTCTGATAGACTGGTCCGTAATGTATCCACATCATCTCCTCGTATTGAAGTGTCAAGGGCATCGAGGACAGCTTGTGGAACACTGGGCAAAACCTTGGATGTCACTCGCCCCAGCGACCGAACTGATTTCGAAGACCTGTCAGACTTCGCATCGTCGAAGTTTTGGGCATCTCCAAGGACAGAAAGCCATTTGTTTATCTCATTTATGAGACGCACAATGGTTGTGTCTTTTGCAAAAGGCTTTGGGTCAACCATGGTGGTAATGTATTGATCCTGAGTCTTTGTGGGTGCTTGAGGCACCTTCTTGTCCAGTTTCTTGGTGATTTTGACAAATCCTCTCCTGTTAATCTCACCGAACCATTGCAGATTTCTAAGCTGGTTCCGTAATTCGAGCAGAGCATTGATCAGCTCTTCGGATTCTTGATCGTCAAGTTCGGCCACCACTTCTAGACCCCGACCATAGCGATCCTGCAGCAGCTTGAGGCGGCGATGCGCTTCGGCGAACTTTTTATTGTAAAACGAATCGACATCTTCCAGATTGCGGTCCAGAGCAAAAAGGAACTCTGTAGGTTGTTGTCAGGGGACACGCCAGGATCTATAAGACCTGCGTTTTTTGAAAGGGGTAGCACACCTGCAATATCAACATCCTTGCCATCTTGGGCTGTCTTCGCTGCGGCCTTGATCAACTTCTTTAGACCTTTGTAATCAATGTAGGCAGAAGCCCACTCAGGGACTTGATTCCGGGGGAGACTATGATACCACATCAGTGCCACTCAGCTAGATGCATACAGAACCGCTCTTTGGGGTATTAGTTTACCTTCTACCAAACTTCATCTTGTCCTGGCAACGTTCTCAGTATCTTCTATCGCAAGCAAAAACAAAACACTCAACGGAGGCTTCACATCATACCGAATACTATTCTTCTACTAACTAGGTAGGTATGAGGTCGTGAATTTCGTTAGATGCTCCAAGTAGATAATGCGGGAAATCCTCCAACCCAGCTTGATAATGGTAATCAAGCCGACATCAGCACTCTATCTTATACATAGACGTGGCAGTAACTGGTGGAATAGTCAAAACCTGTAGATTTGGGTCGATGAAGTCGAGATGTGAGATAACATGCATTGACACGAATCCAGGGAGACATAGGTTGGACTTGGTTGCAGGTGAGTCGCATGTGTGTGCGTGTGTGGTCTCGGTATCAATGGGTATAAGGTATTCGAAGGATCGTGGTGGAGAACAAGGGGGCGGGAGCTTTTGATGGGATAGACAAAGAAGGTATTGATTGAACTGTGAGATGATAAGACAGCACTTAAGGACATACATACATACCAGGTAGGGATTTTGAAAGCAGGTGATGGAATTAACTATATTGCTGAATGAAGGCAGTGATGGTACCTTATCAGGCTGTATATAAGTACCTCGTTGCGTATAGGATGAGGCCGGCCAGCGTAGGTAGAGAATGTGATATCGAAACGACCTAGTCAACAATAGGTAGCCAGACCGAAGCGCAACTCGCCGAGAGCTCTCTGCTGTGTAAACCGATGCAGAAGGAGTAGTACTGTAGTTACCTAGCTCAGAGCAACGAGTCTACTTGAATAAAGATGAGATAAAGATGAGTGAAGTTGACTATCTCGCACCTCTCTACCCTGGTACAAATGGGTGGGTGATGCAGAGGACCCTTAAAAAAGATTTGGTGTCTGACTTGGTCGACCAAGGTACCGTATGCCTCGCAGATACCTTCCAAAAAGGCTCAACAGGCTTGCATATGGATGTCACTGCAGCCCGATAGGGTACCTATCTCCACTACTCTGCCCACTACAACCACAGATGGACAGCGATGGGCAGCGCTGGCCAACAGAAAAGCGCTGTGGTGGACCGTGGAAGCAGTCAGATCCCTTGATTGGCCACTGCAATTGACGTCATTCGTCATTCAGGGGGAGGGATGTGCCCTGAACAAGCCCTGAACAAGCCCTGAACGAGCCCTGACATGTGCTGTATGGTACCTACATTGGTACATAGGCACTTACTTAGGCATGGCTGGTACAGTCCAGACCAGGTTGAAAACACCACAGGGAGGGAGGGAACCACACAGTAGAGAGCCGATATTCGGAAAATCATAATGGCAGTGCATTAGCAAACAACTCTCTTCTTCACCGCCCATGTACCACGTGCTGTTGTCGTGTGTGCAGACTCGGCTGGTCACGTTCCTCCAATTTGTCAATCAACGTTCCCCATTTTAAGCGTGTCTCGAAGACCATGCATATCTGCGAAGAATACCGAGATCTAGCCAATCAGCCACCCTCTCCTGCCTGGTTATACGACCCCGCGTTGCAAAACCTGGCAACATGGGAAGGGGTCGACTACAGTTCTCGATTAACCCTTCAGATCTCAATTGTCAGGGCATTGTATGGACTGGATTGGATTGGATTGACTGCGTAGAAGGGAGAGTTCCCAGCTGGCTACGACCTACAGTACAGATGGTAGTAGGTACTGCCTCCTATCAATGATCAACCACGGCGATTATGCATGGTCTTTTCCCCAGTATTGACACCTGTGTCTCACTTGATGAATCTTGCTTTCCACACGATGAACATGAAAATTGATATACAAGGAAAGAAAAGTATAAATCCGAACGCATCGGAACGCCCGTAGTACAGCGAAAGGACCTGTTACACGACTATTCCCCCCAATCCCGAGTGACCAGCCACATAATCTCCCTAGCGAGTTGATATGCCCTTATTTAGGGACATCTTCTCAATAATTTACTACATGTCCATGTCCAAGCGGGTTATCGAATGGCCCTGCACCTAGGAAATCAGTCGAAAAAGGTCTATCAGGGTCCTGAAATCTTTCGCCTATGAATTCAGCAGCCGCTTGATAAGCCTCCGGCTGCTCTATGAGAATCACTGGTTTCCCATATTTATCTTGATACTCTGTGCATTGTACACGTTAAATACGGGCCTTTGTCTTGGAGTGGACACTTCTGTACTCACCCAGCAGTGGCATCGTTGAGCATACATTTCCTGTAGTCTTTATTTCTTTCCATGACACCACAGTGTCTTGAATCCCACCCCTCCATCGCCCTCAAAACCATGTTCGTCTGCACGGTATTAGTATGCTCTCACAGCTCTCGGGACTTTGCACTTATGATGCTTTACGTGCCATGGGTCATGACATGATATCATGTTTAACCGAAAGACGCCGAATGAAGCATACATCCCATAACCAAATCCTTAAATTCTCGACTCAAACATACGTGCCTCTTGTGGAATCCTGTCGGAGTAGGGGCCAGCAGCTACCGCGGGGTAGTTTACGAATGTTTTGTGGCACAATCTATTCGTTAAGATTCCTACAAATTACCTAACTTATGATATATATAACAAGGGCTTTTATAGAGGGCTTGGAACTTAGTTATATTCATTAATAATCTACTAGGGGTCTTTAGGGCCTTGATCTTTCTCTTTTTCTCTTTTGGAGTGGGAGATTCCTTAGCTATTTATGCTTATTCAGGCTTTATACAATCTATGACTCCCTTTTATTGGTTAGGCATTTATACTTTAACTGTTGGTCTTTTTGCAACTAATAGATTGTTCTTATCTAATTATTTATAGCCTTACTTTCCTTTAGGGGTAGCATTAATTATCTTTAGTCCTGGAATTTTAGCCGTATAATACTATTTCCCTCCTTTTTAATGCTTAACTCTAAGTATAATTTAGCTCCTTAGGTGGATTGCAAATTTAGGGTTGTGATAGTTTAAGGGTCTACCGGTTTACCTAGGTTTTATTAATGGAATTGTTTAATAAAAGCCTTTACATTAATGCTATTTATATGTTTATATAGTTCTTAAGTCTAGTGCCTTTTAGTTAGTTAACCTTTCTATTTAATTAAATATTTTATATTTTTTTAAGTTTTTAAGGAATTTTTGATTTCTTTTATTTAATAATCTTTGGATTTTATTGGAGGTGCCTTTTGTAGGATTTAGTTAGGGTTAGGTAATGCCTGATTATTAGTGCGGTAAGGTTCGATAAGCAAAATGTGGAATAAATTATAAATTCTTTATCCTTTAGGTAATATAAATTTAATAGTAATAGGTGAAATTACCTTATAGATTTTAAAGGGTTTAAGTATTTTTTTGTTTAGCTTTTTAGTAGGTTTTTTTGTTTTAATGTTTTTTATATTTAATATTATTAATTGATTTTTAGTGTATTAGGGTAAAATCCTTTATCTTTTGTTTACCTATTCCTTTATGTATTATTAGGCCTTTTTTAATTATTCCTTAGCTTCCTTATATATTTGTATTATTTAATAAGCGTATAACTTGTTAGATGGGTTATAGGGTTATACTATAGGAGGGTTATATATAATTAAGTAGTAGTTATAGTTTATATAAAAGGGGGATATATATATTAAGGCTAATATAATATTATTATATATAAATTTAACAATTAATAGGAAGTTCTTTTAATTAAATATTTTATAGTTAATAAATGTTCGAAGATAGATTTTAAAAATTTAGTTAAGTTATTTTATTTATTTATTAATCTAAGGGTGGAAGGCTATACTTATATAGGGTTTAATATTAATAAGCTTTAAAAAGTCCTTTTATAAATAGCTTATAAACCTAAAGTTTCTATTAAAAATTATATTAAAGGGTATACTATATAATTTTTAATAATGCTTGGTAAAGATTTTAATAAGATTTTTAGTTTTCTTTTTTTTAACCTTTAGGGGTATAAAGTGTCCTATTTTTATAAAGGGGTTTACTATTACCTAAATAGAATTATATTTATTAAATAAGAGTAGGTTAATAATAAAGTTTATTATAACTAATTATTATAAAGTATAATATAATTTTATAGGTTAAAGTAATCTATAAGGGGTATATTATAGGGCTTTATTTTATTAATAGGCGTAGCAGCTTTATATAAAGTCCTTTACAATTGCTTTAATATTAAACTATTAAAAGTTCCTTATAATAAGTTTTAATGTTTTATCTATTCCTATATATTTAACTATTTATATATTATATTTCATCCTTATTACTTTTTATTATATTACTATAAATACTTATAAGTATCCCTTTCTATATAATAGGTTATTTATAAATTTTATATCTTTAAAAGGTTTATCCTTTTATAAATAGTACTTTAAATTATCCTTTATTACTTTTTTAATAAGTTTAATAAACTTTAATAGCTACTTAAGTATAAAAAGGTTATAAAGTTATTTAAAGGTTAATAGTATAAACGTTGCTAAATTAAATATTAATCCTTTAAAATATAAAAAATATTTATCCTATAAAATTAATTTAATTAGTTAATCTTTATTCCTTTCTTTTTCCGGGTAATATTAAGCTAGTTTTAATATAATATTAGCCTTTTTGTTTAGTTTATTGGGTTAGTAATTTATTATAAATTAATATATTAATAATTGCTATGCCCAACGTACCTATTATTTATTTAGGACTTTAACTATTGTAAAATATAATAGGTTTTAATAGTTAAAGTAGATTTTAATTTAATATTAAATACCTTTTAAATATTAATACTATTGGTTAAATCTATCTATTATTATAAATAGCTTTTTATTATATATTTTATAATTTATTTCCGTTAGTATTAACTTCCGGAAATAAAATGTAATAGGGTAAAGTTTACTATTATTATCCTTTTATAATAATATAGCTCTAAGGGTAAAGTTAAAGGCGTTAGTTTTAATGTAAGCTACTTTAAAGGGGTTAAAATGGATAAATATAGGAGCTATAGTAAATTAATATTTAAGTTTAAGGAAAGCTTTATTTATAGCTTCTATTTACTTTTATTATTATTAATTTATTTTATTTATATCCGTTAATAGTTTTATAATTAATAAAAACTTTTTAATAAATTTTTAATAAAAGTTTATAAATTTAATAAATTGTTATAACTTATACAAGGTGGTTAATACTTCCTATTTAGTAATATAGTTAATTTTGTTTTAAGCTAT